TTTGGGAAGTCCGGGGGGTGGGGGGATGGGATATAACATTGTGTAATATCTGTGATGTATTTCTTTTTTTTATGATGAAAACAATAAAATTTTATATTGAAAAAAAAAAAAGATTTTGAACAAAGGAACATTTACATTTTTATTTATATAGATTTTATTTAATTTATTGGCCGCCCAACTTACCACAGCATAACTCTGGGCGGGTTACAATATTATTATGATGCTAGCACAAACAACAACGAGCAGGGCTGATCCTTTTCTCCTCCTCCCCCCCCCCCCGGGGCTGATTGTGGTTTTTAAAAACATATGAAGCAGCAGCATTCGAAAATGCCACCTCCCGTGCCCCCACAATTCTGCCAACTTTTTCTGTGATCCCACGGAACATGTAAACGTGGACTAAATGAGTCTTGTCTTACGAGTTCTGCTCCATTCGTTTTACCGAAGAATGGAGCTCCTTCAACCGGAAGTAGAGATGACCGTTGGTTTTGGATCCGGGTATCCAACCTTGGCGATTTTAAGACTTGGGGTTGGGTACCCCTGATCTAAAGACATCCAACGTTTGAAGGCACCTTCTCTAGGGCACTGGTGACGAACCTATGGCACTGGTGCCAGAGGTAGCACTCAGAGCCCTCTCTGTGGGCATGCGCGCCGTCGCCCCAGTCCTAGGCCTTCAGCTGGGGTTTATAAAATCTTTTCGCTTTAGGTCTCTGCCGCCGTGTGCAAAAAAAAAAAGGTTCAATCAATCAGTCAATTTCAACTTCTCGCAGGGAAAAAAAGATCTTGCAAAGTTGGAATTGACTGATTGATTGAACTTTTTAGTCCCACCCAGTCTGCCGTTACCACTGCAGCCATGCCCACCCAATGGGCCACACCTAGCCAATGAGCCACACCCACCTGGCACCCGACAACGCATAAGTGGGTTTTGGGTTGCAGTTTGGGCATTCGGTCTCTAAAAGGTTCACCATCACTGCTCTAGGGCATGACAGAAAAGGGAGGCCTCCATTGACTGATGACCTGCTTAATGGTGGAAGACCCACTGAAGCTCTGTTTCTGCCTGTTATTTCTAGCCTTCTGTTTTCTGTCTTTGGTTTAAACCCCAAGGGCCCCGAGGATTCCTGAGGTGCTTGGTTCTCTGTGCACTAAGCTCCTTCCTGTTTGGTTGGCACGTCCATGAGAAAGCCATTCTCCTCGCCATTCTTCCTTTGAGGTAAGGGAGCGGTCATTGCTGATTACCAAGGAAAAAGCATTGTGAGTGGGGAAGAGAGCTATTGAAACCTTACATGGCATAGGGCCAGGCTACCTACGGAACTGGCTTCACCCCATCACATCAGCCTGTCCCACTTGTTCGGGCAGGGAAGTGTTCAAGCATGCACAGTCTTATTGCACTGAGCTAACCCAGGAATAAACACAGTAAACAGCAGTCTATATCAAATGGTGGTTTATATTACACTATCTACAATATTGTACACCAGGAACAATATACATACAGTACACATGATAATACAGCAGTTACAGCAGGAAACGGATCAGACAGACAGACAGACATACATTCCAGCAAAAATATACTCAGGCTCTTAAAGGGATACAGACCCTGCTTGCTCTTAAAGAGGCACAGACCCTGCTGAGTCATTCCTATCATTGCATCATCCATCTTACATTACATCGTACATCTCACATTATACAAGCTGGTTAGCTGTTCAATTATTACCTTGCCCCTGCATGCTGCGGACCCTGTCAGTCAAAGAATTCCGACTGGCAGGATGTGGGAAGAGGGCCTTCTCTGTCTCTGCCCCCCCCCCCCCGCATTCTGGCACATCTTGCCCTCAAGAGGTTAGCAAAGCCCCCAATTCTGTAGTTTTATCAAGCATTTAAAACATGTGCATCCTAAACCATTCTGCTCTTAATGTTTAACTTGATTTTGATTATATTGCACACTGCCCAGAGGACAAGCCATTGAGAAATGCAACATAAGAAGGAAGGGAGAGGAGAGGAGAGGGAGAGAGAGAAAAAGAAAAGAAAGAAAAAAGAGAGAGAGAGAAAGAGAAGGTCATAATGGGCCCGACCATAAATATCAACCACAAGCAATGCAGTGGAAGCTTGGAGCTGGGGATGGTTCCAGCTTTTCTAAGGATCCAGACATGCCACAGCTCTTCCTTCGCTGACTCTGGAACCAGGGCAGATCTCTGCTAGAACAGTCCCCAAACTAGTCAGAACAATAAAGCAGTTGGTGAAGAACCCGAAGCTAAAACTTATGACTTAACGGCTACAATTGAACCCAAATTTTCTGTTGCTCAAGGAGTTTTGCCCCCACTTTATGACCGTTCTTGCCACACTTGTTAAGTGAATCGCTAAAGCTGTTAAATCAGTAACACAGTTTTTAAGTGAATCTGGCTTCCCCATTAACTTGGCTTGTTAGAAAGTCACAAAAAGGCGATCACCACCTTTGTAGCATCCCCGGGGTCCAAATTCGAATACTTGGCAACTGGCTCCTATTTATGACGGTTTGCAGTGTCCCGGGATCGTGCGATCTCTTTTTGCGACCTTCTGACAGGCGAAGTCAATGGGGGAAGCCAGATTTGCTTAACAGCTATGTTATTAATTTAACAACTGCAGGGATCCACTTAACGACGGTGGCAAGAAAACTCGCAAAACGGGGCAAAATTCCCTTAGCAACTCTCTCGCTTAGCAACGAAATTTTTGAGCTCAGTTGTGGCTAATAAGTCAAGGACTACCTCTATTGTGGTATCGGTGAATGAGCGTGACAAAAACAGATTCCACTCTTGAAATATTCCTTTTTTTATTATTATTGTTCTGTTCTCAGCTTTCTGTCTGTGGAGAGGTCAAGAGATGCTGGTATTTACCTCATACTGTCCACTACGGGCCATTTTTCCCTCTTCCCACTGCTGTTTACCGCACCAGGTATATTTAATTTCTTTGTTATTTGCAAAAAGAAAAAAAATGGCTTTGATATAGGTCGTCCTCAACTTATCACCCTAATTGGGACTGGGGTTTCTATTCTAAGTTGCAGTCATCAGTCGAATCACCCGATTTTACGACCATTTTTTCAAACAGTCGTAAGTCAGGTCACCATGGTTCCTAGTGAATCCAGCTTCTCCAACAGCATTTTTTTCCCCACAAATAAGCAAAAAAAAAAAAGTTGCAAATTGTAGTCGTGGGGCCACACAATGCTGCAACCAGTTGTAAATCCGAGTCAGTTGCCAAGCACTTGAATCGTGTATACACTGGGACAGGACTGATTGGTCATGGATTGACATGTATGACCTAGTCTAGGGGTAGGCAACCTTGGCTCTTTTATGACTCGTGGACTTCAACTCCCAGAATTCCTGAGCCAGCCATGCTGAGGGGAAAGGGAGAGGTTTCCAAGCTGAGCCATGCCGGCTCAGGAATTCTGAGAGTTGAAGTCCACGAGTCATGAAGGGGCCATAGTTCCCCCATGCTGGCTCAGGAATTCTGGTAGTTGAAGTCCACAAGTCATGAAGGGGCCATAGTTCCCCCATGCTGGCTCAGGAATTCTGGGAGTTGAAGTCCACGAGTCATAGAAGAGCCAAGGTTGCCTACCCCTGGCCTAGCCGTAGATAAAATTGGTGCGGGCTCTACTTAAATCAATGCCATGGGATTTTGTTCAGGCTAGTAACTCATCCTCTTCTACATGGAAATACAGACTTGATGCAAGCACTACCAAACCGTAGGGCAAATCTGGACCCAGTCTGGTGTTGTGGTATACAATCCTAGGCTGCATTGACAGAGGGATAGAATCAAGATCACGAGAAGTGTTAGTACCACTTTACAATGCCTTGGTAAGACCCCACTTAGAATAGTGCAACCAAGTTTGGTCCCCACGATGTAAAAAAGATGTTGAGACTCTAGAAAGAGTGCAGAGAAGAGCAACAAAGATGATCAGGGGACTGGAGGCTGAAACATAGGAAGAACAGTTGTAGGAATTGAGTATGTCCAGTTCAATGAAAAAAGGAATAGGGCTGACATGATAGCAATGTTCCAGTATCTCAGGGACTGCCACAAAGTGTATACACAGCATAATACAGGATACATAAATGGGAATACTTCCTCGCAATACATCTGCCATGGAATTTGCTGCTACAAAATCTTTGTTGTTGTTGTTTTGTTTCTTTCAGAGCTGCCCATTAAAATATTGCTGATGCTCCTCTTTTCAGTGTACAGTTTCTCCTCCCTGAAGGTCCTGTTCAGGTAAGAAGGAAATCATTTTATAAATAAAGAGAAGAACCTTCTCCATTGCCAAGCGATCTGGTTTTGCACACTTGTCCCATCTTAGGGATGGTTAAACTACCAATAAAGGAGGATATCTGTAGCTCAGGATTGAAATGAGGGGTCCTTGGTCATCTCTGCTTGTTTTCTTATAGATGTTTCATCGCCCAACTAGGTAACATCATCAGTGCTAGAAGGGAGTGGGGTTTATGAAGAAGAGGAGGAGGAGGAGGACGACTGAGGTGGATTGTTTTCTTGCAGACGTTTCATCACCCAACTAGATAACAATATCAGTGCACTGATGATGTTACTTTGGGTAATGAAATGTCTTCAAGGAAGCAACCAACCAATAGGATTTGGCTGAGTCAGAGATTATGTTGACAGTTTGATCCTGTGCAGCTCAACTTGAAAGTAAAAGCCCGGATTAAACATTGGATGGGTTGCAAGAAGTCGAACTCCAATCCACCAGCTTGTTTACTCCGTGGCCAGTCGGAATAGAATACAGGATAAGAGTTGGAAGGGACCTTAGAGGTCTTCTAGTCCAACCCCCTGCTCAAACAGCAAACCCTATACCAGGAGTAGGCAACCTTGGCTCTTTTCTGACTCGTGGACTTCAACTCCCAGAATTCCTGAGCCAGCCATGCTGAGGGGAAAGGGAGAGGTTTCCAAGCTGAGCCATGCTGGCTCAGGAATTCTGGGAGTTGAAGTCCCCGAGTCATGAAGGGGCCATAGTTCCCCCCTGCTGCCTCAGGAATTCTGGGAGTTGAAGTCCCCAAGTCATGAAGGGGCCATAGTTCCCCCCTGCTGCCTCAGGAATTCTGGGAGTTGAAGTCCACGAGTCATGAAGGGGCCATAGTTCCCCCATGCTGGCTCAGGAATTCTGGGAGTTGAAGCCCACGAGTCATGAAGGGGCCACAGTTGCCCCATGCTGGCTGAGGAATTCTGGGAGTTGAAGTCCACGAGTCATAAAAGCCAAGGTTGCCTACCCCTGCCCTATACCATTTCAGACAAATGGTTGTCCAGTCTCTTCTTAAAAAGCTCCCACAACTGGGGGCTGCTGGATTCATCTGGCTTCACTCATAGATAAGGTTATAGGTAATGGGTGCAGGTAGTCCTCAAGTTACGACTGTAACGGAGCTTGCCCATTACAGTCAGAAGGCGTGGCAGAAGTTGTAATATTACTTTATGACACCCCCACCCCACCTCTGCTCTCCCCAATGCGGTCGTTAGGTGGAGCATGGGGGTGCCTCAGGGTTAGGGGAGACCTTGTGAGTTCTAGCACAAGCCTAGGTACACCTGTTCCAGGACCCCCAAGGCTTCCCTCACCCCCTAAGGCACCCCAAAGGTGCTTTTTCAAAAGGCAACTGAACTTTCTTGGGGGTTTTTTTTGTTTTTTTTTCCTTGAAAATATTTTACTTCCCACCCAAGAAGCTTCTTCAGTTCTGGCTGAATGATGGGGAATGGCAGGATTTATACATTCCTTGCAGTCCTCTAGTCATTCGTACTCCGAGGGTCCTTGAGGCCTAGGGCACCCTGTGTGCTCAGCTTCCTGCCCCTCAAGGACTCTGCAGCCCTTGGGCCTGCCTGCTTTCACACACACACACACACACACACACACACACACACCCCTACCCCTACTGTGTCCCCACAAGCCTGTCGGGTGGGGCAGCCGTTGAAACTTCCGAACCGGATTGTTCCAGTTTGGGGGGAGGTCCATGGTAACTTTGAACGGTCGCTAAGCGACCGGTCGTAAGTCAAGGACTACCTTTATGGTCAGGCTATGAAGAAGTCTTCTTAAAATCCTTTTCTCTTGTCCTGTCTCCATAGGAAAGAGCCTCTGCTGAACTGGTTGGAAGCAGTCTACCTCACTGGGCTGATACCCCTAGGAATCGCCTGTGAAATTGTGTTCCCTTTTACTTCCTGGGCTCAAAAACTGCCATTCCTGCCTTTATTGCTCACCTCTGTATATTGTGCTCTAGGCATCATTTATGCCTGGCTCAAGCTATACATCTCAGCCTTCACAGGACCACCAGAAGGCAAAGAAAAAGAAGAATAATGGTGGTTTATCAGGGATTCCAAGCTGGCGAGGATCATTCCGGCAAGCTCACAACCACACACAACACGGCAACAGGTGCTCACACTGGACCTCCTCTCCAGTTGCAGAAAGGCTTCCTCGTTCTTTAAAGACTTGGGGTCCTGAAACTCATAAGGAAATAATCAGCTTTTTAAACCAGCGCGACCTGAATGCAACAGTGGTTATTTCCGTTATTGCTATAGCAGGAGAAATCAAAAGTTTTTGCTTTCTTTTAAATAATTCTGTCTCCAAAGGCCATAGGGATGTGCTGATCCGTATGTAGAGGGAACAGGAACAATTTCTTTATCCCTGTTTTGAGTCACCAGGATTCAAGGAGATAATTTCTTCACATTCCATATATCTTATTTGGAATTAAAAGGAAAAAAAGGTTTGCAAATTGTAGGGGTGGGCTTTGCACATACCCAAAAAAAAGGAGACAGGCTGAGTTCCCAAACTCTGTATTACATGATCATCGATCTCTAGAAAAAGTTGTTATCATGCTGGGTGAAAATTAAATAAAGAATTCATTTTTTAAAATCTGTTTCCTTGGACTGTATAGAATGTATAATGGTAGATGTATCTTTCAAGCAAATCTGATCTGATCAGACCAATTTATGGATGATTGTTCCAAGCTTTTAGCTAGAAAAACTTACACAAGTAGCCCTCAACTTGGATTGGAATTACAGTCATAAATTGGGGCAGTCATTAAGTCATCACTTGACCCGATTTTGCAATCTTTTTTGGGGGGGCAGTTGTTCATCAGTTTCAGTTGCCACTGCGGTCATTAAATGCATCTGTTTTTTAGTCAATGGGCATTTTTTCCCCAAAAACCAGACGCAAATGCCAGTTTCCAGCAAAAAATATAAATCACTGTTGCAAATAGTCGTAAATTCAGTTTGTGACACCCAGTAACTAATCTTGGGGGGAGTCCATCATAATTGCAAATGGTTGCTAAGCAGCCAGTCGTAAGTCAAGGACTACCTGTAAAATACATATTCAGGAGTTGCATTATCATTTACCAAAAGATTGTTTAAGGTGGTTTCATGTTTGCTTAGAAATAATCCATGGGAGATATCTATGTCTAAACCAGGCATTAATATGGGCTATATGAAGACCTGGGACCGGTGTTTTTCAACCGTAACAATTTGAAGATGCTGACTGGGGAATGCTGGGAGTTGAAGTCCATGCCTCTTAGTTGCCAC